GGGGGGCTTTTGATATTGTTTTGAGATAATGCAGAAGGGGGATGTTCGAACTTATATTTTGGGAGGTGATACAGCGGGGGGGCCGTAAAGCTTAAGCTTTCATGTTTTTGGGAAATAGTGCCGCAGGGAGCTAGATGTTAAGAATCGATGTTGCCTCGATGTTAGAGGAACGGCATAATAATTGGTGAGAGGTTTGCCGTACTTTTCAAAATGACTGATGATGTATTGGAGGAAGGAATTGGCATATTTTGGTGAGACATGGTTGAGGCCCATGTGCTACCGATGCTTATGTGAGATTGGTCAATGGGCTGAACCATGGTTTTTGTGCGACGATCTTGTCCAAAGTAGTATAGATGCCGCGTTTTCCCGGAGTTATCCGTCCAAAAGTCTTTATGACGTGACTCTCATGTATGTTGATCTTTGCGGAGTAATTTTCAAAGGATGATTTCTTTGTTTTGGCTGCTTCAGATTTTGCTGATGGCATTTCCTCGAGAGGGGTGATGGATTGTTGAGCCTCTTAGCGAAGTTCCATATTGGATTAAGGTCGAGTATAAACCTTAAATTTGAATATTCGAGATATCCTCCGGGAGTTGGGATGATTTGCAGATAGATATGATGAAGAAGAATGGTGCTTGGATTTGTTGCCGTTTTTACCTGGCGATATGTACGGGAGGTCTTTTTGATCTTATCTCGTACCGAGTAGGGGGGCTGTTTGTGTGTGTACTCGGCAGGATGCACATCTCCGACATCTCCGAGGGGGTTACGCAGATGTGATGGATATGGACTTGCTGTTTATTGCAGCAGGGCCTTCTTGCCTGCTGCTCGTGTCTTGTCTCTCCCTAGTAATATACGGAACTTGAGTAACTCCTTGGTGCATAAACGTTCTCGACAAGAGCCGGTGAGTGTGATGACACAGCACACGCGCCGAGACCGCCAATATCGTGTCCCAGACGTTTGTATTATCTTGTAATTACTTAGAATTAGCATTTTTTTTCAGGTGCTATGGTGTACCAAATGCCGCACGCGGTCCTGTTATCAGCACTACAGCAGTACCTGCAGTTTTTTCCATCGTTTTTTGTGAAGCAATGGGCACATTACTTTTTTTGCCCACCAACCCAAGGCGGGGTCTCTAACCCAGTGCTACTAGTTCAAACGTTCAAACAGTCCATGATGATATCCATGAGGCGAGGCGCAGCCAGCCATCAATGACGAAAATGCCCTGACCCTTTTATACCGCCACACGCTGAAAACAAAAGTTTTTACTGCCACCTCTAGGGCGGTATTCGTGCAGACGATCTATCACTCCTGACAGCACTTGCCCTCAATTAAATGCAACACACACAGCGGAACAAACATTACAACAAATACTTTGCACTCCAACGCTTGATGTGCGCCAACCAAAAATATACTTATTATTAGACAACACATCCCCGCCAGCTTTGGTTGACCCTTGTTGCAGCCGCATCACCAGTAAACACGGCCCGGGCTCTTCTCCGTCATGTGCACGGGCCGTGTCGCGAACTTGAAGTGTTTCGCCCAACATGACCTTCTTCTCTGTCAGGTGTGTTGGCCCACATATCTTCTCGCCCCCTTTATAAAAGCTTTGCGATGTACCAGATCAATGGAGAGTGGGCGGGCCGGGCGGAAGGGAAGCAACAAGTGTTCAATTCCTATGCATACTATGCACGACGACCACTGCTCACTAGCACGAAATCAAGGGGAGAAAAAGCGAGGACATGCCGATGTACTTAAGCCAGGCTGCATGTCTGGACAAGAACATCGTCACTTTCGTATGGTTCCTCGAGGTCTGCTTAGACGTAAACACATATGTAGACATTCATTTCATGCAAACCTCAACTAAAAGTCTCGGCGCCCTCGCCTGCCCTTCCCTTGCTGCATTTTAAACGATGGAATAGTGTTCCTGGGCGAGCGGCAACTAGTACAAGAACATTGCCGCGTAGAGGGTGATAGACTCATCCTCTGGACAACACACGACGGACTATGCATCCACCTCCTTCGTCTCACGAAATACAGCATATAAAAAAAAATGGATGCCCGTGAAACTGCTGTCCAGGGCCACATAATACGCCAGGAAACAACCGCACCTACCTCATCATCACCCTCCCCCCCCCATCACCCAGCTGTGATTCTTGCTTTCCATGGGCATCCACGTCGTCATCAGTCCCTCGCACGCCGTCATTTTCAAAGTACCCCCAAATAAAC